AGGTCATAAAAATTAGTTTAAAGTTATGTAATTTATAACCAAACGTTTGTATATTTGATGCACGAACAAAACGCACTCAAAAAATTTACTGTCACTTTAATTGTCAGTGGAACCATAATTACATCATCACTAAGATGGCGTATTGTTGCCTATAAGATACGCGTTATTAAAAAAAGACACTTCTGGGCGGAGTTCAAATAGCTTCTAAGCAGGCTCGAATTCAGGTGGAGACCATTCTGTTAGGCCAAAATACCTGCTACAATCCGTTGCTGTAAAGGGGTCAACATAATCCTATAGGTCAGTTGGTCCAATATCTGAACAGGTAAAAAATAATACAAATAAACTAAATAATAATATTTAATAAAATTAAAACGAGATAAACAGTCATTCTTAAATTTTTCTCAATTCGTCGGAATATTTTTTTATGTATGTTCAGCGACGATTGTTTATGACGTTTTCCGATTTCTATGATTATTTTTTTGTTAGAAAGAGGGTACCTCTGGGGTGGGTCCATATAATTTTGATCAACATCTAAAAATGGAATTCATGAGAAAATCATTCTTCATTTTTTATGTATATTCACCGATAATTATTACCATATACAGTTCATCAAATTTCTAGAGGCTTTCGACGGCTAGACAAAGAAAGCACTACTGACAGGCATCCCGACGGATTTACGCAATGAAAGTACACTCTGCGCATCAAGTATTTCACTATTTCATTCAGACGTAAATGTCAGATGTAAATTTCGCTAAAACATTTCTTTTATTTTCGTTTGTGTTTTTTGCTCATTACAGTTTAATAGAACCTAAGTGTGGAGTTTAATAGCAAATTAAGAGGCCGCGTGATTAACAGTCAATCTCGCGAAATAATAGCCAATGTTATAGAGTTTATGAGAAGAGAAGGAAACTTTAATTCACCTTCAATACCATTTAAAAATGTAAATTATCGTGTTGCTGCAGCCACAGGAGTATCTAAAAACACTGTCGTCCGCATTTCTGGAGAGAGAAAAAGAATCGATAACCGTGAGATATCGGAATTTTCATCACCAAGAAAAACCATTAAAAAACCAAAAACAGTTAATGATATAGATGAAGCTGCACAAGAATCAAATTTTATTTTTTTATTATTAGATAGCTATTTTTGTTTCTGAGTTGTGTTCATTTACATGCTCAATTTTTTTCCGTTTCTCCTTTTTGATTTTATATGGGGTTTCAAGTTGTTTTTGACTTATTTCGACGTAAATCACAACAACACACTTTTTTAATAAAGCAAACAAATGTTAAGAGGTATATGTACGTGTAAACTACAATTACAAAAAATTGATATGAAACCCATGAAACCACCAACAAAAATGTAAAGCTAGCATCCGTACTAGAACATGGTGTCATTCGTCGAGATAATTTATCGTTTTGTTTAATAGATCAAGAAATGTAAATATTCCCCTGTTATTTTTTATAAAATTATAAGAGAAATAAATTTTTTTCTAAATAGTATAGTTTATTATTTTGTAGAAAAACAAAATTTCGAAAATTTTAGTAATGTTTCAGAAACAACCGTTATTAATAATAGGTACCATTTTCCTTAATAAGGTAGAAATAAAATATAAACTATTTCCACGATTTACAAAGGCCTACAAAAAAATTATAGGTATTTTCCGCTATCCTATAAAATTTATATTTTCTGACTCAATTTCAAAAGGTTGAAGGAATTCCAAAACACCTTTTATGGCATAATAATTATTTTCAATTCTACATACTATCTTTAGCTGCTTTTAAAAACGTTCTAAGAAAGTCCAATCAGACCAATTTAATCCCTAAACTATTCCACACTTTTAAAATTTAATTACCTAAAAATATTAAAAACTATTTAAAATAACTTGTTTAGCAGACTGACTGTACAATAGCTATCTTAGTCACACGTAGCGCGTTCTCTGTCTGGGCGTCGAACACCTCTAGAAATTTGATGAACTGTACATTTGATCAGGATCTAATATGGGATCTATGAGAAAATCACCAAACACAATTTGTGGTGGCATCTGCACGATTTTGTAGTCAGTTTTTTAAAATTACTTTTATAACTTATAATTATATCATCAATAAAATCTTGCCTTTTTTTCGAATGCCCTTTGAGTTGTTAATTTTAGATGTACTGACTGTATTGAATATTGAACTAGAAATATTTATTTTTTAGTTTTAAATAGTGGTCCAAACTATGATACCAGTTAAAACTAGATTTAAAGAATACCTTTCCTTTTAAAGATATGAACATTATATATTTATAACATGTATAATCTTACAGATTAATTTTTTTATGGAATACTGACTGTACTTTTGCAAAAATTACTAAAATTATTGCATTTTTTGAATCGGCAACACTGCAAGGAGTTAAAATGATCGAGTCTACGGGTGCTCCGGTGCCCATTAAGTCGGTATCAGTGCCTTGAACTCATTAGTGTCGCTATAAATTAACACTAATAACTATTATTAGTAATAAATTGTATAGTAAGTAGTATTAGGTCTTTATTATGTTTGTTTCATGATGTAGAGGCTTGATCAAAAACCTTTTTTTTCCTATTGCCCGAGTGGCAAAATATATATTGTAAACAAAAAGAAGCTTCTGGCTGTTGGGTTTATGTCATTATTATGTAAGATCTCTGGTTGTTTTTTTTTTATTATCATAAACAAGAACGGTAATACTTAATTCGTATTTTCTTTTCCGGTGTTCCTCAAGGTCTATCGCCAGAAGAGAAGAGCTTGATTTATCTTTTAAACAATTCAATAAATAAATAAAATAAGATGTAGTACTTTATGTATTTATGAAAAAAAGTAGAGTTGGAATTGAAGATATTAAAATTGATAAATATTGATATATTCAATCAACTCTAGATTTGCAATTGAACACGAGCTACCTAGGTAAACTGTGATTTCTCATGCCAATAAACTATTATTATTTGTGTTAGTAGACTGCAACTTTTATTAAAAGTTGAAAAAAAAAAGAAATATTATTGATAAAAAATTACGTTGCTATTTTTTAAATATTCCCTTAAAAGTAGGTATACAAAGTACCTTTTGGCATTTAAAAAAAATCATTATATTTTTTTTGAATAGTAATACATGCTAATTACAACTCAATTTGAAAGAATATGTAAATTGAAAAAATATACGAGTCTCTAAAAATTCATTTAAAAAGCTTCGTTCGCGGTAAGAATTCTGGACTGATTCTGAATTAATAGTAACTGTTTACATGCGCAATAGTTAAAATTAAACTCAATTTGAAAGAATATGTAAATTGAAAAAATATACGAGTCTCTAAAAATTCATTTAAAAAGCTTCGTTCGCGGTAAGAATTCTGGACTGATTCTGAATTAATAGTAACTGTTTGCATGCGCAATAGTTAAAATTAAACTCAATTTGAAAGAATATGTAAATTGAAAAATATACGAGTCTCTAAAAATTCATTTAAAAAGCTTCGTTCGCGGTAAGAATTCTGGACTGATTCTGAATTAATAGTAACTGTTTGCATGCGCAATAGTTAAAATTAAACTCAATTTGAAAGAATATGTAAATTGAAAAAATATACGAGTCTCTAAAAATTCATTTAAAAAGCTTCGTTCGCGGTAAGAATTCTGGACTGATTCTGAATTAATAGTAACTGTTTACATGCGCAATAGTTAAAATTAAACTCAATTTGAAAGAATATGTAAATTGAAAAAATATACGAGTCTCTAAAAATTCATTTAAAAAGCTTCGTTCGCGGTAAGAATTCTGGACTGATTCTGAGTTAATAGTAACTGTTTGCATGCGCAATAGTTAAAATTAAACTCAATTTGAAAGAATATGTAAATTGAAAAATATACGAGTCTCTAAAAATTCATTTAAAAAGCTTCGTTCGCGGTAAGAATTCTGGACTGATTCTGAATTAATAGTAACTGTTTGCATGCGCAATAGTTAAAATTAAACTCAATTTGAAAGAATATGTAAATTGAAAAAATATACGAGTCTCTAAAAATTCATTTAAAAAGCTTCGTTCGCGGTAAGAATTCTGGACTGATTCTGAATTAATAGTAACTGTTTGCATGCGCAATAGTTAAAATTAAACTCTTGGTTCTAATCCTGCGTTCGCGGTAAAACTAATTCCATTCGTTATTGGTTCTGAACCGCTTATGTATATAATATATATTATGAACCGGGCATGCACTCAAATTATGAATTAGTAGTTCTGAATCAGTTCAGGATTCTTTCCGCGAACGAATTTATATATAATAGCTTTGTTCGCGGTAAGAATCCAAACCAAATTATTACTAACAGTAACGATTTCGCAGGCGCAGTAGTTAAAAAGCGTTCGCGGAACAAAAAGAACTGAACTATTGGTTCTATCCTGCGTTCACGGTAAAATAATTATTGGTTTTGAACTGCTTGTCTATATCTGAAACACCGAGATATAATAGGGATTGACCGCGCGGTAAAAATTCAGAATTGATAATGATTTGGGCATGCGCTCAAAATATGAATTAGTAATTTTGAATCAGTTCAGGATTGTTACCGCGAACGAAGCTAATAGTTATTGATTTCGTGGTAATTTCCTATGAATTATCTATAAACTTTTTCTTGAATATTCAAGTGATACTTTTTCTAGTTTTAAATGGTAGGTTACTCAAAAATCGTTTTAGGGATAAGTGAGAAATCTATAAAATAGAAGTAAACTTTTTAAAATAAAGAGAATGCCGTGGGGACGGGTAGTTAAGCAAATGGTGACATAATCTCAGTTTTTTAATTAATTACCTCACTTATTACTTATGATATAATTATGATTTGAAAACACTAGTTTACAGTACATCTGTTGCCGAAGAAATTTCAGCTGTTGCTATGATATGATATGCTATTTTTAAAAATATAATTAGAAGATTTTTATCAGCTCTAGTTTCTGAGTTTCAGCTATTTTTGGTATAAAACAGAAAAAAACATGTATTTACTCAGAAAAACTTTACTAAAAAATAATTAATCATTGAGTTCTAAAAAACTTCGTTTTAAAGCTCTTCTCTTATGTGTAGACTTTGGAAAATGACGTATCAGAGACCAACAATAGTCAGACATCATATTCGTGTCCCAGAAACGCTCTTCCATGACGCGTAAGTCTTGATGCATACGCTCTCTCTGCTCTTCGCTCATATCTCCTAAATTTTCCCTGTCCAGGTGACTATGGAGGAAGTGGAGTTTTATGCTCATATTGCACCCCATATTTTTTAATTGTAGCAGAAGGTCTTCTACAAGTTCAATGTAATTTGCAGATATTTTATTTCCGAGAAAATTCTGCATCACAGAGACGAAAGCTGTCCAAGCCTTTAGTTCTAACTTAGTCATAGAATTTATAAATTGAGTATTTTTCGTAAATTGTCTAATTTGGGGTCCATCAAAAATACCGGCTTTAATCTTTTCCATAGTGAGCTAAGGAAATTTTTGGCTACTAATGAATTCTGGGCTACATTTTGCTTTCCAGACTTCATATTTTCTCTCAAAGGCCAATTTCTTCTTACCCAATGCTCTTGTTTAGCTCTACTGTCCCAAAGACATATAAAACAGGTAAAAAAAGTGTAACCACTTTGTTTACCGAGAAGAATGTTCACCATTTTTAAATCGACACAAATTTTTCACTTATGGTCACTGTGTTTTATTTTATTCAAGACTAGCGAACTCTTACAATATTCTTCCTTTAACTTTGTACTGTGGGCAATAGGTACCCCAGCGTATTTATTTCCATTATGTAATAGAATACATTTTAGGCTACGTTTCGAGATGTCAATGAATAAACGCCAGTCTTTTGGTTCGTATTGTTCCAAGCCCATTTTTAATAACAAGTTTTTAATATCTGAACAGAAGGTAATACCGTTTTCTTCGGAAAAATAACGCCGTAATTCTTTATCTCTTTCACGATAAAAACTTATTTTAGTATGTGAGGAAAGCAAATTTTTTCTTTCAGTCTTGATGCTTACAATTCTGAAGCTTGTTTAGAAAGATTTAAATCTCTTACAAGATCATCTAACTCATTTTGGGAAAAGCATTTTGGCTCATTTGACATACCTTCAAAATTAGCATCATTTTGTGATGAGCTTGGTCCTTCAATGTCTTGTTCTAAGGGTTCACATATATTTTTAGGCACTGAAGAGTCAGGTGAACGCTGCACTGGACGTTGAACACAACTAGTACCAGGGTTCTGCCATTTAGCTCGATTTTTAGTTTTAAAGGCATTTCTTTTACCACTTTTCTATAATTTTAAATATCCCTAAAATCGAAAACTGGACCAATATAGGCAACCTTCTCCTAATTTTATACCATGTACGACAATCTAATCTTGAAAATTTAAAAATCTATTTTGTCTAACAGGCTACAAAGAAAAACTTGATGTTTTAATATAATTTTAAGGGAAATTTTAGCTTTTGCAATATATATAAATTAATTTTTTTAGAATATCTTACTTATCTGACTTTTGGACAAACGATACCATTTAAAACTAGAAATTAAAAATTACAATTTCCCCTACTCAATTTTTTTATAAAATACCAACAACTACTATTTTGTAAAAATTCATAGTATTTAACTATTAAAATAAAAGTAAAAATAATTTTTTATTTAAGTTTATGCGTTTTTTCTCAAAACTTACAGGACAAATTAATATTCCAACTTCTATTTAGAACACTAATAAATATTTAAAATAAATTCTGGAAGCCATATAGGTTACAAAATAATTTATGAATCATTATTTGGTGTCAGAGTATGTAGTCCTCTTAAATTTTTTTTATGTTTTTTTTTTATTTCTTTTATTTATTTATTTATAAACAATTATTTACTTGGATCAATAGTAACTGCGAATATTAATGACTAATTTGCTGGAAAATTAATACATCATCCGATATGTATTCAATTTTAATTAAGAAAAATTACATACAGAATAAACATAAGTGGCCCAAGAACTGTTCCTTGCAGAACTCCTATTTCTGTAATCATTAGTAGGTACTCTTACTTTTTGTTCTTCGTTCAGAAAATTGGAAGCCTTTAACACTGTCTTTTGTATAATAATTTTTTGAAATACGACTTTATTGAGTACATATTTTAAACCAATAAAATTACTATTATTACCAATAATATTTGAAACGAGCTCTTTGAACGTAATTTATTAGCAATCAGAGGCCGTTCGAACGGTACATGCGGCGATCATAAGAAAAAAATGGCATATCTAGTATATCCATTTACAATTCGCGATATTAAATCATTCGGTAAATTCCGTCAATTATGCACAATTGGGATTCTAATGGCGATTATATTGATCATTGATCGAGGTCTTACCATTTGAGTAAGTAGATCGACCTACAAAATTTATTTAAAAATTATACAGGGTGATTAGGGCCGGATGGCGGAGCAGACGCGGTTCTCTGACCTGGATCCAGTCGATTGCAGGACCGTCTTCAGTTAAAGAATGTCACTGATCTCTATGGGGTGTACCATTATTAAAGATTATTTGAAATTATTCATTATTAATGAGTCTTTCACATCTCAGTTCCTAAGTTGTTTTAAACTCACATTTGGCAGATAGATTTTATTCACAGGTTTCACCCAATTCAACCATGACTTTCATCAAAAGATATATAGATATATAGATCCATCCATAGATAAAATAATATGTAAGATAACCCGTTTAAATGTACGGCACTGGTAACAAGTTGTTAGTTCCTATTTCTAAGCATATTATTTCGAGCCACCATCGCAATTAGGTATTCCAACGATCTGTCAAAATGCTTCCCGTGGGTAGTAATGACTACGGTTAGTAGACAACACGGTAGCCTCTTACTCTAAAATATCCCTTGCTGGAGATTTGAACTTTACAAAAGTGCGCTGCTGAAATAAATCTGAGATATGGGCTTTTGAATGATTTATTTAAGTACTCCATGTATATGTATTATCTCCTCCGTGTATTGTATGCATATACACAAATAGATAAAACTATTTCTAATTTGGCACCTATATAGATTATTATAATAAAACTGGGTTGTTGTTGTTTTATTGTTTTTTTTTTATTTCCGTTACGTCACTGCGTCCTTAAGAATCATGATGAGGCCACCCTGTTGTCTACGAACTGTGGGTAATTATATGGCAACCCTGTGAGCCTGTTGTCTTGGACAGGATCAATGATACATATACAGGGTGTCCCGAAATTAGACGGTCATGTTTTAACAGCGTAATCTATATCCTAAAATAGGAGTAAAAGTTTATATGAAGAAAGCTTTGTTCCAACACACACACAAACCGTAATATTACGGTCATCGTCATGCGCAGTAAATAAAAACCGTTCGACTTTGGGCTTAATTGATAGGTTTTTATTTACTGCGCATGACGATGACCGTAATATTACGGTTTGTGTGTGTGTTGGAACAAAGCTGAACATAGGTCCGAAAACGATTTGTTTCCGAGATACAGGGTGTTTTAAAGGGAAGTCCTGATGACACATTTTTGTAAATATTTTCTAAACTTTTAAAGATAACTAAGTGAAATTTGGTACAAATGCTAAACTTTTTATGCACTATTTAATGAAATAAACGCCAGTTTTTAATCATCATCTTCATAGGTGGATTAATTAGGGGAGGGGCTTAAGGTTAAATTTTCCTAGTTTTTTTTTGTTGGCTGTTTTTAACATTTTTGACTACAAAATTTGGAAAACCAATAGTTTCTTTATAATAAAGCTACTTTTGTTGTATTTCGCTAGAACGCACCATTTTCAACTTTTAAAGATAACTAAGTGAAATTTGGTACAAATGCTAAACTTTTTATGCACTATTTAATGAAATAAACGCCAGTTTTTAATCATCATCTTCATAGGTGGATTAATTAGGGGAGGGGCTTAAGGTTAAATTTTCCTAGTTTTTTTTTTGTTGGCTGTTTTTAACATTTTTGACTACAAAATTTGGAAAACCAATAGTTTCTTTATAATAAAGCTACTTTTGTTGTATTTCGCTAGAACGCACCATTTTCAAGAGAAAAGCATTTGGAAATTTCTGAGACACACAAAACCGGTATCGTTCTACCTCTGTCCTACCTGTCTTATCTCTGGATAGTTTTATTTTAATCAAAGTAAGGTTCTCGAAGTAAAGATTTAATATTTAGCAATAGGTAATGTATAAACTTTTTTTTTATTGTTCTTAAGGTGAACTGATGACTAAGCACTGCATTAGAGCGTTGCTTATCGACTAGAGTTTTTTTCTGGAATTTAGTGGTTAACTAATGTATATTCCAGTAATTAAGTCTATATCGTTGGTTAGGAATGGATCTTATTAATTTAAGTTGAATATTGGCTTATTGTGTTTTATCCCATGTTAGTTCATAGCACCCACTCTGTCACCTTTGTACCTTGTACAAGTTTGTACATATCCTTGGGTGAGTGGGTTCTATACGTTATTGGATCAACCTGGGGTTGTCCAAAAAGAGCCTGTCTTTTGCGATCTAGAGCTTCGCATTCGCACAGTATGTGTTTGGCCGTTTTTGGTTTCTTGTGACATAGTCAACAGATGAGTTCCCCATTGTACATGCCAGTTTTGTTCAAGTGGCCCTTTACTGGGGCGTTCTCAGTCATGAACCCTGTTATCACTTTCAACTGGTTCCTAATTATAAAGAGCAGTTCTCCAGTTCTTTTGGGACATGGTCTGCTTATGAAGGCTTTTCCATGTGCCTGTTTTAGGGTGCTTCCTTAATAGTTGATATGTTGTTCACAAATCCAGTCGTTTATGAAACCCCCGACTGTACTTTTTGGAACTCCTGGGTTTGTGTCTGGTTCCGGTGTTTCTTCTGACCCTATATTTCGAAGGGCCCCCATCTACTAACGAGATTAGGTTGTTTGAGACTCAGCCTACAACAAACAGAGTTAAATACCTGATCAAATACTCAATTTCTTTTGTATATGTATATATTTAAATTGTAATATCCACCTACCGGTTTAGTTGTCTTTTGTAATACGAAGAGTACTCTACGTAACCGCACTTTTACCACCCACTTGGAGGGTTATATATTATAAGTGTATGTAAGTTAAAGGTAAGAATAGTTGTGGGAACGCCTTGTACATAATAATTTTCTTTTGAAAAACTCACCCTTGATGGTATGAGACCTTTTAGATTATTAATAATTAAATTCACACTTTTAGCCGATACAATATCCACCACTAGGTGTATGAATCACAAAGATCACTAACAGTATATCGGACTAAAGGAATCTCTGGTTTTTGCATAAGAATGAATCCTAGAAAATCCTAGTTGAAATCTTGGCACATGCCACAATCAAAATCCAAGCAAAAACTGGGCCAGGAAGGAAGTTCCACAAAATGGCAACAAAAGTCAATGTCTTAGCAAGAAGGCCCTGACTACAAAAGGGTAATAGGATAATTTCTGGTAATACTGTGG